TCTTCTTATGGGTGTCTACCAAGTCTGTTCAAATAAACAAATAAAAGCCCTTGGGTAAAAATTGGCCCGGGGGTGGGGGGCCTATATACAGGTGAGCGACCTCAGGGCCATCATGGCCCTCTTGTTATGTTAGTCTGTGTCTAACAATTTTTATTAAAATCAATTAAAAGTGTTATGTGTAAATTCTCAACTTACAGATAGATAAAGGTTATAATAGCCATCATACCGTATTTCTGTACGGTGAATTTGCGGTCTCTGATCGGCAATTATTTTGGGCTAAATAATTCAAAGTGTTGGACTACTTTTTGGAGTTTTTTTACACCGATTTCATTAGTAAACAATTTGAAATTAAATTCTTGATGGGAATCGTAAATTTTTCATCATATTTTTGTGTGATTTTAGCATTCTTTCGATTGTGATTAGACATTTTCCGGCTCAAATTGCCGTGCGAGATTTTCTCTCATTTCACAAATTTCTCTGAGATTTTGGTGATTTTTTTGCGAGAAATCGCGGAAATCGCCCACTAGAATGATCCCTGTTATCATAATGGCAACAATAAATGATTTATGATATTCAAGTTATTGATAAGTTATGAAAATTTGGGCCACTTGCTTATGAGAAATAAAACAAAATTTACAACAAGTGAAGTACCAGAAATTTAACAGGTCACATGTGTGTATACACATATACACATAATTGTGAGCCTTATTCTCCTCAGTAGAACATTATAATTTACCACACTGGGTATCTTTAATGGACTCGCCTTTCTTTCAAAAATTTAATTTGGACTAAACCATTCATCATTTTTAGGGGAAATTTCAAAATAAAATCTGTCAGACTGAAAAGAAATGCAAACATTGCAGACCTAGATGTGCTGAAAAATCTTTGTCTTAACTTGTCACATGGGTATTTGAGCAGCCAGAAGGGTTATTATCATAGATATTACTTTAATTCTAACAACAATAATATTATTTCAGTATCATTATTAGATTTTAAAAGTGTAAAACGATGGGTTAAAGTTTAGCAATCTCTTTTAATTATAGTGTGGAATGTGAAGTTGGGTTTATTAAAAAGTTTTGCATCTGAGGGATATATTGGATACAAAAAATAATAATTACTTGTCTAAGCCACCATGTTGTGACAGGCAAGCCTATGCATCACACGTGTCTTCTGACAGACTCTCATTTTTAGCACACATATGAAAGCTGCATGCCTCCACAATTTAGCCCAAAAATTCAAGAAAATCAGATTTGAGAAAAATGACCTAAGATATTAAGAAAAGTAAAAAATATTAATACACTTGTTACTATATATAGTAACAAAATTGCCTATGATTTCAACTGATTATGAGTGTCACGTGACCTATTATGAGTTTGCGGCCCGGGGCCGAGAACTAGTTATCAGCCCGCAGAACATGTGCACGTGCACAAACTGAAACAATGACGTCATATTTTACGTCATCAAACAGTTGACTGTGAAAGTAGGTTGTCAGCACGAATCGCTTTATTTTTATTGTGAGAGCTTAAGCGTATTTAGTACAAACACATATTTGTTACTGTTGAAATTTGAAGAAATAATACGACAAATTCATTCCAAAAAAAAAATGAAAATAAAACTTGCTTCTAGATTCTACTGCTTTGAACACACAAACAGTAAACATCTCTGTACAGAACAGTAGAAGAGTACAATAGACAAGAATTTCAACGAAACAACTTCAGAGTAGATCCTATTTGTTGTTGTTGTTGTTTTTTTTTTTTTTAATGCTACCATATCTATTAAATTTACCAAGTGTATTAAAGACATTAATACACGTCAGAGTAGGGCCAGAAGGTGATAATCGGCCCTGAATGAATAATGGCCCTCGGGCTAAAGCCCTCGGGTCCATTATTCATTTTGCGGGCCGATTATCACCTTCCGGCCCTCTCCTGCCGTGTATTAATCTCTTATTCACAATGCAGGTAATTATTTACATGTTATATGCAGTGAATGACTTATTTTGCAGTATTAATCACCATATTCTTACTGGGTGATTAACGAAGCACGAGCTATTTTTCCATGTTTTGACCTTTATGACTGTGGTTATTTACTTGGATGGAGCGTGCCATTTGCAATGTTTAAATTACTTTCTTATTGTTAACTTGACAATATTTTATTTATTAATACATTTCAAAATTTTCATGAAAGTTGGCATGAATCAGGATACATGCTACTAACCTAATAACATATTTGAACACTTCCAAATTAATTGATGGTAAAGTCCTCAATACAAATTTAATGGCCTAGGAGTTAAGACTGATATTTAAAGACATTGTACCCAAATATTAATGTTTTTTATATCTAATTTTACAGATTTTTATAGAACGCAAAGGGGGATGTGATCATATGGTATGCCTGAAATGTGACACAGGTTTCTGTTACAAGTGCGGAGGTCGGTACCTGGATATGAAAGTTTTTCGGGAACCATCTCAGTCGTTACAGTCCACTGGGATGTAAATATAACTTTTAAACCGGACAAGCGGTGCTGAGGAACTGATCAGAGGATCTGTGTTTGGTAAGATAGTGTTATATGGAAATTTTAGAGTTGTTTATGCAAGGGGGGTAGAGTATTTGTCAAAAAAAAATGCATTCAGGACCGAGTCACACATGAGGTGATAAAGTTTCGGTTCTTACTCATATCTATAATTTTTATGTACATGTGTACAATCTGTTTTTAATTTGGTTTTTGTCTTTTTATCTAAGTCTGAGGTTAGGGCAATGTTGATTACAGTCTGAAGAAAATCCTTTAATATTCATTGGAAGCTATTAAAAAAGACCTCAAATAAGATTTCTGTAAGAACCTTTAAAGTCTGCAATGGCATTTTTAAGAATTTAAAGTTGATTGTTTTTTGTACTGTTACTTATAGTGATTTCTCTTTTATTTCAGTTGCTGAAATAATTGCTTTATCATCTTTATAACGTTTATAAAACAATGGCACTCTGCATGACTAAAAAGGGAGAAAGGAGTTGACATTTATGGAAACTCAGTATTTAATATGGAAAACAGAATAATATTATACAAGTACAAATGTTATATTGCTAAAGTCAAAGATATAGAAAGGAATAACTAGCAAGAATTTAAACCTACAATGTCAGAATAAGTTTCTGACTTTTGTTTTCCTTGAACTGGCATACTTAAAGGGTATATAGCTATTTTTCATAAAATTTTTTATAATGAAATTCATTAAATGGTTAAAATTTTGATGCTTCCATAATGGTAGATCCTTGTATTGAAAGTCTGAAATATAAGTTTCATTGAAGTAAGGTTTATTTTTTAGGGGCCAAGCTTCTGGGTGGAGTGGTGTTAGTTGGGCTTGGAGTAGCTGCGGTAGGGGTCCTGTTAGGGGCCAGTGTTGTTATACTTCCAGCATTCGGAGCATACAAGTATCGTAGGCACAGGAAGTTCAAACGGCGACAAAAACGACAACAAGAACTAATAAAGAATCGGTCCAAGAATGCGATAATGGAGTTGCATCGTGAGCGTCCATGTATGTTAAACAGTTTTTTTTGTTTTTTTTTGTCTATATCTAGTAATGTGAATGAAAGCTGAAGTTTTCTGGCTGGCAGCATTTTGTTTTTGTATACTGATTATTATGTGAATGCAAAAGTACAATAGTGAACTTTATGTATAAGAAGTAGTAATTCAAAGTTGAAAACTTAGATGAATTGTTTAAATACACATCTGTAAATTAATGCTTTTTTATAATAAAATAAGGAAATAGAAATTATATACATGTAGATTTTATTGAGTCTTTATCATTCTATTTATGCACATTATTGTTTTTGCTACAATAGACATAATTATATCAAACAATGTTGATTTACTTTCCTTAAACTCTGTTTCAGATATGCTTGACCCAAGGTCACTTCGAGAACGCGAGAGTCTTTGGGAAACTCTAGGTAAATAATATTATGTTCATACTCTTCATGCTCTTGAGTAAAACAATGTGAAAAATAACAATTGAATATTTATGACTCAATATGAAGTACATTTGTGTAAATGCTATTTTTGAAATAAATTGTTTGTGTTACTAATGTCTGAAAATAGATCAGTATGAAAATAGAACAGAAATTTGTCATGTCATGTGACTTCTAAAAATAGATTAGAAATTTGTCATGTTATGTGATGGTAGTACTGATTTTGAAATGATAAATGTTGTATTATATATAAATAAATAATATTATGGTAACACACTTTAAAGAAATATAGCTTTAATACATTTAGAAAGTTATGGTAAACTTTAATGTTTGAATAAACAAATGGTGGGAGGTATATTTATAAAACCTAGACTTTCTTTAGAAATACATAAAGGCTGTGCACTGATAATAAAGAAAATCAAATACTAGTATTGGTAAAGGGGAAGAGCATAATAGCAGGGAAAACCCCTTTAAAATGATTAGTACAATGCAAAAATTACTCAAAGGATTCCAAACCAAACTTTCACAGAATGAATGTTATCAAATGGTCTTATGTGAATACTGGGGATTTTGTGATTTTAGCTGTAAACCTGTGACAATAGGTGTTATCTGCAGAGTGGGGTTTTCCCGTCTAATCCTAGAGTACAAACAAACTTTATATTATTATAACTTCAATGTGCACTACTGTTCATAAAAGAGTGATGAAAACATTGTGGTTATTATTGATATACATGTACATTGTATTTACCAAGTTGTAATTGTAAAAGTTTGTTTGTACCCCAGGATTTTATGGTGAAAAAACATATTTAAGGGTTTCCTAAGTATCTCAATTTAAAGTTTTGTTTTGATAATAGATATTGAGATATTTTTTCCTTAAATAATAATAATTTATGACTTAGATTCATGCAAAGAATATAATTATATGGTCAGGGTTTACGTGTATTGAAAAGTTTGATTTACTGGCCTCTTGCAAAATTTTACCAAAATAGAATAACATGGGTAAGAAATGTTGCCAATTTATGTTGTCTGATAGAGCCAAATTAATAAAACTTAAGCAAATGGCTAATATGGCCAGTGTTTTTGTAAACACTTCCCTATCCTTGGTTTGTCATGTTTTAAGATTTATTATTTTTAGCTCGACTTTTCTATGAAAAGGGGAGCTATCCTACTCGCCCCGGCGTCGGCGTCGGCGTTGGCGTCACACCTTGGTTAAGTTTTTCGTACCACCCCACTTTATTTCAGAAGTATTACAAGTATGGCTTTGAAACTTACCATACTTGTTCACCATCATAACCTCCATCTACAGACAAGAGTACATAACTCTGTCAAGGTTTTTGACAGAATTATGGCCCTTTTTTGACTTAGAAAGTGTATTGAGCTTGGTTAAGTTTTTTGTACCACCTCACTTTATTTCAAAACCATTGGAGGTATTGCTTTGAAACTGACCATACTTGTTTACCATCACGACCTTCATCAACAGACAAGAGGACATAACTCTGTCAAGGTTTTTGACAGAATTATGCCCCTTTTTGACTTAGAAAATACATTGAATATGGGTAAAATCCACTTATTGCCTTAACCCTTTGAGATATTGCTTTGAAACTTTTAATGCTATTTCACATCATTACCCCCATCTGTACGCAAGAGAAGGTAACTCTGTCAAGGATTTGTTTTAAAAATTAAGGCCTTTTATCGACTTAGAATCTTGGTTAAGTTTTTAGTACCAGTCCACTTTTTGACTGAACTGTTTGAGATATTAATTTGAAAGTTGGAATACTTGTTTACAATCATGATTCCCAAACATGTCCAGGAGAAGGTAATTCTGTCAAAGATTTTATTTGAATTATGGCCCTTAACTGTCAATGTTTTGTATTATAGGCAAGCACTAAAAAACTTAAAAAATCTAAAAAAATTCATTCCTATCCACTTGTTCACTTTACCATAAATTATGTCATAATAAAATAATTCTTCACTAAATATCTTAATGCTCATGGCCATTGTTCACTTTAAAAATACAGAGATTCTTGTATTGCCTTTTACTGCAAAAACTTTTTTTATTGGCAAGCAATAAAAAAGTCGAGCGCGCTGTCTTACGGACAGCTCTTGTTTGGTGAAGAACTACATAGATTTTCACAAGTTACATTACGATAAGTCTAGAGGTGAGATGATCAATCCCTTTATTGGTTTTATAACCACCTGTCAGTGAAGAACTGTTAATTACTTTTCACAGCCTATATACTATGGAGGGCGATCGTTGCCAAAATTCCAGACATGTAATGTGTTCCTTTTGAAAATTACTTTTGAAAATGCGAACATGTATGTCTAGCATTTTTGATTGCATTCGTGCACAGCAAATGACATGCCCTCTTAATCCAATCTTTTAATTTAAAGGCACCCGCTTTTAAATAACAAGTTTACATGTAAATCTTAACAACTGACCTAACACACATTTACAAGTTCGTATCTACCATTGCAACTATAATACATAAGCATGTTTACACACTTGTAGATATATATCTGTACCTGAAAAACACAAATGAAATGTAAAACTCGAATGCAGAAAATATAATTTTTAATAAAAACGTGTTTCCAGTCGTAGAACTACAACAGTACATTTACACAGTTACATGTTTAAAATGACAAAAGTAGATTCACAAAGTTAAACGATTTTAAGTCATGCATGACGTCCCGCCCCTCTGAGTATTTACGATCTTCTATCACGGAAATGTACGTTTACAGGTTATAATACCCTCGCCTCTCTCCTATTTCTCAATAAAGTGAAGGAAAACACGGCGTCCATTCTAACGTTTTTTATTTCTATTTAAAAGTCCAATATTATTGGTATCAAATGAAAATTACTCCATAAGCTTTCCATGAGTGCCTCGGAAATAAAAATGAATTAAATAGATGTATTGAATTTTTTGGGTTTTTTTTTACTCTGAAAATAACACTCTCGAATTGGTAAGAAAAACACGGCGTTCCCTCCAAACTTTTTTTTTTTATTTCGTAATATATTTTGATAATTTTAGGATTTAAATAAAAGTGTGCTTTAATATGATATATGATATATAATTATATAAGCCTCAAAATAAAAATGAATTAAATGCAAAAATGAATTAACTTTTCGTTTTAAAGTTCTGTAAAATAGAGAAAATAAGAATCCCTAAAGAACGCTCAAAACGACAAAATTGAGAATTGTTGCAGGCCCTGGTTTGATTGAGCCTGCTCATGGACGGTAATGGAAAGAGCAAGTTATCGTCCACGCCCCCTAGCACCGGCTTAAGCAAAATTCAACATCGAACTGGTACAATTTTGAAACATCCGCAGATGTGTTAATATGGGGATTTATCATGGAACCTTCAATGTGACACGTAAGTGCCATACCATGAAAACGGGGCATATGATCCCCAAGTAAAAATCAAAGCACTGAATGTACTGATGGGGAGGCTATGACAGAATGTTTTCAGACTTATAGTTTCTTTTTTTTTTTTTGCTTAAAATGTGCTTGTTAAATAAGAAGAATATGCACATTGCGCCATTTATCGT